GCTACATGACCGACATTCGCACACTCTGTGCTTGTGTGTCTGCTCATGTGTGCGCGATTGTGCACACGTCGGTGTGCAGATGTCTCCTTGGTGGTGTCTGGGAGTCTCGGGTAGGTGTGCAAGTCTGGGCTGCTCCTGGGAGAAGAGGCGGTGAGGGACGTGGGGTAAGCTTGTGTCTGCGTCGGCCTGGCAGGGGTGGGTCTATGGATTTCCACGCGTGTAGCACAAGGGCGTCCATGCCCGCCCTATCTCTGTGTACTTCTGCCACGTCTCAGGGCTCTCCAGGCTGCATGCCCACCCCTGGACAGTCTGAGAGTGTCTTGAAGTGTAGGAGTGTGTATGAGGGTGTGTGTGTGAGCCTGGGGTCTCCTAGACGTTGTGAGTGTCTGTTGGACCTGGTAACGTGGGTGTGATGACACAGGAGGCTGTGTGCCGCATGGGTTTGTGTACTCCGAGTGTGTATGCGCTCATCCGTCCGGAGGCGTGCTTCTGGAAGCACAGAACGGCGTGTTGCCGAACGTGTAGGCGAGACGTGTGTGAATGTTGTGGGTCTCTGGGCTTGAGCTGTGAATGTGCGTGTGCGTATGTGTGTGCACAAGCGAGAGTGTGCCGAGGGACGCAGGCCCGCCCCCTCACAAGGGAAGCTGGCAGCCCTGGATGCTCTGTGGTCCCCTCAGCCTCAGCAGCCGCTGCTCCACATTCTCCATGTCATTCCCATCTCACGGGAGTGGTCCCCTCCCCCCATGACAGGCAAAGGGCTGCAGGTTCTTAACGACCCAGGTCTCAGAGCACCCTCTTCCAGCCACCAGTCAGCTACCATGGGGGGACAGGGACTCTAGGAGGGACCAGCCGGGAGCTCGGCTGCCAGGATGACCTTCCCCTTCCCCTCTCAGTGACAGACTGGACAGGGAGCAGAGAAGACAAAAGCTACATACAGAGGCCTCTAGTGTGGCCACTGGGTCCAACACCTAGCACAGAGCCTGGGACCCAGGAAGCACTGAAAATGAGTGTTGAATGACTAACTAGTGGAATGGTAGATGGTTGGATGCCTTAAGAGCAGGGAAGGGGAGGGCAATGACAGGGACAATAGTAACACTACCACATGCTGTATCGTCACACTGAAGAGGGTCCCCCAGCCTGGGGCAGGTCTGTGTACCCCCACTTTACAGAAGAACTGGCCCACATGAATACACACACACATACACACACACACACACACACACACACACACACACATGTCCCTCACTCCTGCCTGCAGGCCCCAGACCTCCAGCAGGTCTGCCTCACCACTTGTCCCCCCAAGTCTTAACCTAGAGCTGGCCCATGATGGAGTCCTCTCGCTGATCTGGGTTCCAGACAAGACATGCTGCGAGCACTCAGAAGCTCACAGCTCGTCACTGCAGAAAGAACAGGACCTCCTGGGTTGCAATCAGGGCTGTGTGACCTGCAGCCTCCACGTACCTATCTGTACAGCAGCAACCTGGGCTCAGTTGGGTGCTTCCGCTGGTCCCTTCTGAGCTGACGTCTAGCTTAGCTGCATTTCCAACACTCACATGTAGAACCTCCAAGGAAGTGGGGTGACCTAGCTCCACGTGGATGGCAGAGAGCGGGACCACACCCTCCTGGTCTCCCCTGGGGCAGCTACTGACTTACGGACATGCTGAAGCTGAGGAAACCCACCCTCCTAGCTTCTCCCCGTTCCTTGAGAACGAAGACATAGACATCCTATCTGCTCATTGGCCAAGAACGATTCCCCGGGAGATGTGGGGTTTCACTGCTTGCCTAGCCCTAACTCTGATTCCTAAAAATAATTCTCGGAGACTGTCCAGGCTGGTGCTATCGTCTCCATTATTTTGATGAATAAAAAGCAGCAGAGACACTAAGTAATTTGCCCATAATCACACGATAAAGGGTAGAGTCAGGCCCTAATGCCAAGTCTTTGGGTTCCAACTCTCAGATTCTTCCAGCCACACCTGGTGGGTTCCCAGCACATCCTCATCACGTGGTACATGGCTCGTGGTAATGGGGAGCTGGGAGACCTCAGCCCATAAGCCTTTGGAGGTCAGGCACAGCTGACATGGCCCTCCATAGCTAGAGCTGCATCTTAGCATCCTGGATCCTCAGCTGTTAATAACATTCCAACCTCACTGGCTAGGACGGACCCAGAATCAGGTTACTCAAGTGCAGCCACTACTTGAATCTCCCTTAACCCCCCTCAAGGAATCATAACCACCAACATTTTGAACAGTTTACAAGCCTCTTTCCACAAACTCTGTCTATCCAAGCACATGAGGTCAGCCAGCCTCTCTGACTAATTCAAGTGACAACGAGCTCATTGCCTGCTCTGTAGAAGCGCCCCATCTTCTCACTGGAGAGTTGTCCCACCGATGCTCCTCACTTGGGTCCCAGAACAAGACAGGAGATCCTCCACCCCCATGAGAATGCTTCCCTGAGGGACAGTTCCCAGAGCCCCCGCCAGCTGGGAGGTGAGCCAGAGCAGAGGTACCCACCGGACTTGGTGGGACCCTCCTCAATCTAAGCAGCCAACATGCAAGCGACACCCTAGAGAGTTCCAGTCCTTTTCCTTATTACTCAGTTTGTGTATCTTAGAAGCCAAGGGGCCCTGGGGACAGGAAACACGCCAAGAGTATAACACACTCTTACTCCAAGCCCTGGCTGCCTAGAGACCTGGCTCTGGGACTTGGAGCACGTTCTTTCCCGATGCTGGCCATAGTTTACCCATCTGTGGAATGAACAGGACACCTCCCATAATAACTCCTACACTTACGCTCCACACTTGCAGTTTTCTCCTGCCTGAGGTAGGCAGCCAGGGTAAACAAAGCCCCAGAAGTGGAGGGACTGGGCCAAGAGTACCCAGCAAGAGCCAGCACGGCCTGGCCCTGCTCCTCTCCTACCCAGTCTCCTCCTCTCTGGCCTTGGTGCTGTTCTTGAACTCCACGAGCTTTTTCTAACTTCTCTCAGCCTGCGGTGTTCTTAGACCAGCTCCTCACTCAGCCTGCCCTGTGCCATCCTTCAGCTCTCAGCCCCAGCCCCCGACACCCTCAGGGGCTTCTGTGTACTACATCCTTCTCCACCCATCCCGACCCATATTGTGATGTGTGCTGTGACTATTCCTTAATCCCAGCTTCCCCAAAGCTCCGTGGAAAACAGACACCCTTATTCATGGCTGTATCCCCAGATCTGTGCCACACACAGCAGGCTCTAAATAAACATCTGGTGAATGAATGAATGAGGAGCCAGGAGAAAGAGCCCAGCCTGCTCTTAAAGTTGGGAGATCCCTTCTGTCCCAACCACTTGAAAATAGCAGCAATCACGGTGACTGTCGTCTAAGATATACACCATGCCAGTGTGCCAAGAGCATTTGCATACATATCTCATTTAACCCTTTAGAAGCCAGAGGTGTGTTACTGACCCATTTTTACAAACAAGAAAACCGAGGTCCTGAGGCATGGAGTAACTTGCTCAAGATCACACAGCCAGGGAGGTACAGACCTCAGATCTAACAGCGGCCACAGAATGAATGGTAAAGATTGAGGCTCAATCTAGCCCAGGCAGAGGGATGTCCCCAGCTGGGCTCTGGCCTCTGTGAGACCACAGGCTCAAGCCCCAGACTCTTAGGACCATGTTCCCATGTAAACAGTCATGGATGTCTCAAGCAGACTTCAGGGAAGAGCCTGACGTCTTTCTGGGATGAACAGGAGGCGACACGGGAGGGTGCCTGAAGAGACCAAGCACTGTGACCCAGCCTCCCTTGCAGGGGTGAACAGCTCAGAATATCAACGGGACAGGGCCAAATGACCCTCTTTCAGTCTCCCTCCTTTTACCCACCCTCCCCTACCCCTGCCTCACCACTGGCATTAGGAGACATAAGAGCTGATTGAGGGCTGGCAGGTGGTGTGGTGGGTAAGGGTGCTGGACTCCCATATGGCCAACCAGGGTTCCAGTTCCAGACCTGGCAGCTTGCTTTCTCACTTTCCCTTTCTCTCTCTCACTCTGTCCCTCTCTGGTCAAATTAAAATAAATAAATAAATAAAGTTAAATACAATAATTTTTTTTTTTGGAGAAGTTTTTGCTATAGGGCACATGCACTCACCAGAAAGACAGAGACAGAAAGCGAGAAATCACCCCCCAGGGGGGATGGCCACACCGCAATCCCTTCTCCTCCATTCTCCTCTCAGGATCCTGGGCAGGCATGCCCATGCGCTGGGCATGAGTTTAAGCCCCCAGGTCTAGGACTCAAACCGTGGTCAACTACATGGGAGTCCAGTGACACAGCCATTACGCTAACTGCTGGTCCCTACAATAATTCTTTAAAAAAAAAAAAAAAAGAAAAGAGCTGATTGATCTCCCAACTGTCAACAGTCAATGAGGCCCTTGAGAAGACGTGCCCTCCCATTTAACAGATAAGGAAACTGAAGCCTGGCTTCGGGAAAGGTAAGCTGCCGAGGGGTAGATCATCCTGACTCAGACAGACCCTGTCCTCCTATTCCACAACATTTACTGAATACGAGCTGGGGAGCACATCCTGGGAGAAAACCAGGCAAGAAACACAGTTGAGCAACCCCAACTCTACTAAGGGGGAAACCCATCCGGCCAGGGGAGCCACAAGGCAGTTAAGTGCTGCAGGGCAGACATAAATCAGTGCTGTTAACTCGGTGGCTGCCGGCCAGGGGTACTCTGGGTGTTGTGCCAGGCCATCAACCGGCAGGAGCAGGCAACATTTCAGCCTCTTCCACAAGCATGCAGGCCCTGGAGGTAGAGCCCACGCAGCCTGCAGCCTCCAGGCCAAGGTCAACACACAGGAGTGGGCTGACCCAAAGCTGCCAGGGCCAAGCAGCAGCAGACCCAGCCTGGCCTGCACCCTGTAGGGGTGGTGTCCATTGCCGCAGGGAAGGCAAAGCCTGCTCTCTGGAAAAAGGAGGTCCCCGACTACGGGCCAGAGGGAATGCCCTTCTGGCAGGCAGCTTCCCTCCTCTCACCAGGAACTCGGGGAGGCTGGGGGAGGGGAGGGCGCATGGGGCCAGAAGACAGTATCCTGGGAGGTAGGGAGCTGCCTCTGATCCAGGCTCTCCCACGACATCATCCTCCCGGCCTGTGGGACCGTTAGACTGGGCGGAAGTGGACAGCAGCCAGAGGGATGTTCCCAGATGTCATGCGTTCAAAGTGGATCCGCCCTGGAAGGCAGGCGGGGACAGTCCCGCACTGGGAAAGCCCTGGGTAAAGACTCGTGACGGTGTTCCGGCCTCTCTTGGCAGTGGATGGCCACAGGTTTTCCTGGCAGGGAGGCACACCAAAACCTGCCCCCGAAAGGAGGGCCACTGAGGGCCTGGCCTCTGGCTGGTAGGGTCTCTGAGCAGCTGGGAGCAGAGACTGGGTCCCTCACCGAGTACCACCCCCCCTGCCCCCCACACTACATCTCCTCCCCAGCAGCCTTCCCTGGCCTCCTGTCCCCAAATCAGTGCCCGTGGGCCAGACTTCTCATCCTCGTTCCTCCTCAGGACAGGGCTTCCCAAATAAAGTTGGGGAGTAGGGAGGGAGCCTGATGTCGACCTCGGGTGGTCTCCAGAGGCTCTGGGCCCCCATTCCAGAGGGAAAGTGGTCCGCTGGTTCAGGGCCCCCCCCAGCCTCCGTGTCCCCACCAGGAGCAGCGCACCTTGAGATAGTCATTCTCCGCGCGCAGCTCCTCCAGCTCGTGCACGAAGGCGCCGGGGCCGCAGTCCAGCATCTCCTCGGTGAGGTCGGAGAAGGCGAGCGAGGCGCTGAGCGGCAGGCGGCTGCTGCCCACC